TGAGCCATGGATGATAATTGTAAATTTGGTGAGTGCAGGGACTTTCATTTTTGGATACCCAGCATCTACCCAGCAGACTGCTTTAAAAATATTTTTAGGACAGTGCTTTACCCATAGCTACACACTTCCACTTAATAATTTAGTTGAACTGAATTTCCTCCCTCATCAAACTGTGAGCTCCCAAAAGGCAGGGATCAGTCTTCTCCTTCCTCTGGATTACTCTATCCCAGAACCCAGTGCTCAGTGCCTATGCATAAGGAACATTCAATACAGATTGCCAGCCAATTCCAAACAAAATTTTCTCTCCCCTTCAAATGGATAATATCCTAGTTAGCCATCACATGGCCATTCCCAACCTGCATTTCGTTGTTGCTGAATTTGAAGTTATTGAGGCTACAAAGCAAGTCATCAGTTCATTATTATGGCTCCAAAAGTATTCAGATCAAAGCTTTATTTCGTATCTATAACAGCCCTAACAAATGAGTACCCAGTTTCTGCTTGAAAGAAGCCATCTAGTGTTGGAAAATTCATCACCTAGTGAAGTACTGGTCTAATTGTCAGGAAATCTTCCTTCCTTCCTTCCTTCCTTCCTTCCTTTCAAAATGGATGCATATTTATTTGTTTTTGAAAGTTATATGTTGAATTTATTAGTCTTTTTAAAAACCAAATGTAAATAATAAATATTTGTGTTTTCACACATAATTCTCCCTATCTGTCCTATTTTTAGATGCAAATGTTCTTTTTATTGTGCTCTTTACACTAAGGATAAAATAAAATTATTAAAATAAGAATAAATGAAAATTATCAATAAGTTTTTCTTTCTATCAGGCCAAAATTTGCCTCTCTGTAATTTCCTCTGTTGATTCAAGTTCTGTCCTTTGGGGACAAGCAGAAGAAACCTAATCCCTTGATTAAGAACTTCAGATCCTTAAAAAGAGTGACCTTGTTGCCCTCTCCTAGACTTCTTACTCCCCTGGTGGAAAATCTGAGGCACATAGCTTCTGCTAGATTATTCAGGCCAGTGGAAAGAGCACCGGACCCAAAGTCAGGAAATCTGGACTTGAGCTCTGGCTTTCTTTCTAACTTTCTGTCTGTCCTTAGCCCTATCAGATTCCCAGATTGCCAGTTTGTAAAGGTTTGGAGAACTGGACTAAATGATCTTTAAAAGTTCCTTCTAATTCTAAATTGCTAGTCAGTCTGTGAAACTCCCTGCCATGCCCTAAAACTCAGCATATTTCCCACCTCTATGCTTCTGCCCAGGGTGTGCCCCCTGCTTGGAATGCACACCCTCCTCACCCCTGCCTCTTAGAATCCCTCCTGGCCTTCAAGACTCAGTAGTATGTGTCAGCTCCTATAGGATACCTTTGCTCATACCTCTTGTTCTTAGTGCCCTTCCCCTCCTCACATTCTCATATTTACATTGAGATGTTTGTGAGTTGGATGCCACTCCTACATGCCCCACCCCCACCCCAGGTGGAATGTAAGATCCTTGAGGGCAGGGGTTATTTTGCACTTTGTCTTGGTTATCCACAGCATCCTGCTCAGTGCCATATAGCAGTTAATAAATAAATGATAGTTAAATTAGATTGGGCAGAGCCATATTCTGTCTAACTCCCTGCAGGACAATGCCATTCCTTTAAGCTCTATTCCCTGAAAAAATTCTCAGCTCTAGAAAGGCACCATTCTCCCTGCTCCCTTCCCCAAGGCAGGGCTCATGAGTCAGGTTAGAGAAGTGGAAACTACCTGGATGGGCCAATCACTAGCCTAGAATACAGGGGAAAGAAGGAGTGAAAGGACTCCCCGAGGCATTGACATTATCTCACCCCCACCCAAAAAAACTACCTCCATCTTCCAAAGAGGATGAAGGTAGCCAGCATAGATATAAGATGTCCTATCTATTTTGATCATATCTGTTCCCAGGGCTTTACCATTGCTCTAGGGCAAGGATTCCTAACATAGGGTTGATGAGATCCAGGGACATATTTCAGGGGGCTCATTTCAGGGAAACTGGATGAGGAAAAAAATGACATCTTTACTTTCACTAACCTCTAACTCAAGTGTGGCATTTCATTCCATTATGAATGTAGACAACAAACATTATTCTGAGAAGGGATCCGTAGGTTTCCTCAGACTGCCAGAGGGGTCTATGACATAGAAAAGGTTAGAAACCCCCATAAACTCCTAGGCTCTCTGCCATCATTAGGTCACAAACCATAAGAAATGACCCAGTTAGGGCCCAGGGCTAACTGTCCAGGGGCTCAGGCCACTGCTTTTCTTTCTCCTTCAGAAAGCCAACCCAAGGAAGAACTATTAGGAATATCAGGCACACATCCCACCCAAAAGTATGCCCTGGCTGTCCTTCCTGCCTTCCAGAGCCATTTCTCCTCACCTTTAACCAACAGCCCCAGCAAGGGATCTCTTGAATCCACACTCCCAAGTTTTGGAGGAATTAAATCTACACTAGCTTTTGAACTCCTAATCCAGTAGTGAGCCATTTTGATCAAAAACTGAATGACAACTTACTTAACTTATATTTAGCTAGACCATGCTTACCTATCTTATCCAGATGTGCCCCCAGGTCATCTTGCCACCTGCCCTGCCCATGACACATCTTGCTCTGGGCACAGGAATCAGACCAATCAGATCAATAGCTCCTATCAGGGCAGCGTCAATTGACTGCCTTAATGGATTGAGACCTTCCTTCCCTAGCTTGAGCTCCTCGGCAGCAGATGTATTCTTACTTTCTGTACTGCATCACCTGTACTTAGCACAGTGCCTGGCACATGGTAGGCACTATATTAATGTTAGTTGTTATTATTATTAGTAATAGTATTACTCACTTCCTGCGTGGCCATGAGCACATCCCTTCACCTCTCTGGGCCCCTTCCTTCAAATAGAAAAGGAAGGTGATTGGTTGAGCTGGACTCTAAGTCCATGGCTTTTTCTTCTAAGATGCCAGTGTTGCCTATGGAAACCACTGTGCTCTTTTCTTAAAAATGGGTTTCACATTCTATTCTAGGGACTCACACCCACGCTATCTTGGCCACATAGTTCTTCCTGGGCCCCAGAAAGGAAAAACCCCCGGACTCTGGAGTTTGCCTGAGGCTATAATCCCATCAACTGGCCTTTCACTGTGGCTACACCCAATCTCCCCTCCCCCGTCTTGCCTCGATATGGCCCCAGGCCACTTCCCACCGTAATTCTATTACCTCACGGACTACTTGGCCACTCCTAGGTCCCTCACATAGTCTTTCTGTATATAAGGTCCATCTTGTCTCCATTAAAATGCTCTGATTCTTCAAATCCAGCCACTGCTTACTCATGTTCGGACTCCTTAAGAGTCTGCCCAATAGGATGCATGTTCTAATAAACCTTGTCTTTGGCTGAAAGAAGGCTTGGGTCGAATTCTTTCGGACAGGACCCGTGTGTCGTGGTCTTGGGGTTCCAGGACCCCTGAACCCCTAAATTGCATCACTTGGACTTGATCTTCTCTTCTCTTGCCTCTTAAGCAGTGAGCTGGTGCAGTGAATAGAGCACTGTGCCCGAAGACCTGAGTTCAATTCTAGTCTCAGACACTAACTCTGTGACCTAAGCAAGTCACTTCACAAACTCTGCCTGCCTCGGTTTCCCCAACTGTAAAATTAGAATGATAATAACACCTACCTCCCAGGGTTGTTGTGAGGTTCCAAGGAAATAATTGTAAAGTACTTAGCACAGGATCTGGCACATAGTGTTTTACTAATATTAGCAGTGATTATTATTGTTATCATTATCTCTGCAGTTGACCAGGGCAGCAGCTCCCTGTGGAAACATCCAAATATGCTTGGGGGTGCCCCCACCTGTCTTTTCCTGGCCTCCACTCAAGGGAAGTCTGCCCCCATTCTGGAAGGGTCCGCTGGGCCACTTGGCAAGTCTCACCTGGCATTGCTTTGGAAGGGCATTCTCAGCCCCTTCTACCTGCTTTGAACCTCGGGACCATTTCCTTGAAGGGTCTGTGGACATGGCAAAGACAGCAAGGACCTGGTGTAGACTGAGAATGGAATATCAGTCTGCTGGCAGCACCCGTGCACTCTGGTGGGCAGGTTCAAGACCACATGGGACCCGTAGAGCCCAGGCAGGGGATCCCAGGAAGTGCTGTGCCCAGTCCTGAGGCTTCCTCATCATCAGCATGGCATGAAACCATCCTCAGGCTCGTGTGGAGGATTTACCCTCCCCCTCCCCTATGGTTACATGTGTATTTGAGGGACCATCCCCAAAGAATGGAGTATCTGTGGGGGAGGGTGTTCACCCGGTGCGGGGAGGACACTTATTTCTCTCTTAGGGAGTGGTAGTGAGGGGGCTGTCTCTATTTTAAAAAAAGAAAAACACTTTAAAAATCACCAACTTTGGGAAAGATAAGAGTGGTCATTATCTACCCAACTCCACTTTAAGTGTCCCCTGCCCTCTATGCCTAAAACTTGTTTTTCACTAGATTACATCACACATGCACACACGTGGGCGCATACAGGCACACACACACACCTGTTGGAAAGACTGGCAGGGTAAAAATAGGAAGAGGAGTGGTAGGATAGGGCCTTCAATGCCCCTCCAAAAATCCTAAGCTGGAATCACAGCCACTAGTCAATTTCAAATACCCAGAAACCTTCTTTGAAGAGTGACCATGGGGTGAGACCTAATATGGCCAAACCTGTGTCCCAAGGGTCCAACCAGAATCCCAAAGGATGAGACTGGACAGAAGTGAGGAGGTGGGAGGAGAGTGTGGCGAGGAAGACCGACTGCCAGCAGCCAAGCCACACGCCCATGGGCTTGCTGGGTCCAATTTTGTGCCTATCAGGAAAAGAGGAAGAATCTCAAACCTCTCCCACTCCACCTCCACCTACTTCTCTGGGGTGGGAATCAGACCAGCTGGAGAGAAGCCAGTGGCTTTCCCCCAGCGTGGGAGAAAACAGCCTTCAGAGTGTTAGATAGAGCTTGAGAACACCTGCCCCCACAATCTCAGCTAAGATGATCACAAAGAGTACATTTTATTCAGGAGAATTTGACACTACACCCCGTACAGTTCCAGCCCTGCAGCTGGGGACAGGGCCATTTTACGATGCCATCAGGGGCTAAGGAGAACCAGTAAGTTAAACAGAGAAAGACTCTGAGATAGGGAAGTCCCCGAGACCTGGCTGGCTCAGCTACGGGAACTATCAGGGAAGAGATATTTCAGGGTGAGAAGATGAAAATAGAGTCTATGAGGTGATTAAAAAAAAAAAAAAAGAGGAATGAGAAGTAGTAGTGGGCTCTGGCTGTGAGGAAAGATGGCATCTAGAGACCAGAAAAGGCCAGGAGTTAAGGCTAATTATCAAAACCCAGCCAAAAGAAGCAGGAAAGGAATGTGAGTTGGCACGTGGAATTGTGGAGCCCACCCTTGTGGCTGCTGCTTCCCCTTCCCCTTCCCCAGGATCTCCCCATGGGACCCTTAGTGCAATTAGGTGGGAACCTTTTCTTTTCCTGCCAAGATCCTGATGCCCCCCTCCAGTCTAGCATCCAGATCCTGGGGCCTCTAAATACATTCTCAGCTGTCTGCCCAAGTTCTAATAACCTAGTGGGAACCGAGGCCTGGTTGCTGCTAGGTATGAAGCATCCCTCTCCTAGCACTGGAACTTCTTTTCTAGCTCTCCTGTTCTGGGACAGGTTCTGCAGCTTGCTGCTGGGGGCAGTAGAACAGGGTGTTAGCACAGGTTTGCTTCTACTCCCCATAGCAGCTGGTGCAATCAACACAGATTCCCCTCTCTGAGCAAAGTCAACCTCTATCAGGAGCCAGGGTGGGCATCCCTAAATTTGGATAGCAAAACTTCGCCTTCCCAATGGACAGCTCCAAATGCAGTGCCCAAGGCGAAGATGAGATCTTACAGCCGGGGAAGGTAACAATGATGAGCTCCACAGTGGGAGGTAGAGGTGGGAAGTGGAGAGTTGGAAGCTGAGTCACACCAGCCACATTTTATTCTTTCCCCTTCCTTCCATCCAGGTTAAATGACGAGGAATTGCTCTTCTACGTGGATCTGTGGGCTAAGGAACCCATCACTTGGGCTGTGCATCACAGAGCACATTACTAAGGGAGAGAAAACAGAGAGAGAGAGCCCTCCCCATCAAGATAGTGAGTCCTGCAGAGACAGGAGAATTTGGAGACACTTGTTACCCAAAACCCCCCAGCCGGTGTTGGAGATGCCTGGCCTCTAACACACAGGGACATGGGCATGGTTGGCCTCTGTTGACAGTCTCTTAAACAACCATAACATAGGAGGCTCACTCATGACTGAGATGGTTAAACATGGTAACAGACAGACAGACGGGATAAAGCAGAACATAACAACATCTTTGAAAATAACACAGAAGTATAAAATTTCAGGCCAGGCTTCCTAAACTAAAATCAGAGGAAGTCTGAGGTCTTGCTCATCGACCTGCGATGAGTATAGGGAGCTGAGGAGAGGTGCCAGGGTACAGGCTGAGGCCAACCCCAAAGTCCAGGGCACCCTCCTTAATGGACCAAAGTCTTCCCAGCAGTGGGGTGGCAGCACTCCATAACCACGAGAGGGGAGCCGTAGCATCACACTTGGCTGATGACCTCTCCTTTCTCTGGCACATAGACTTGCATAGGGGTTCCATCAGATGTCCTCCTCAGCACATGGACCATGGGCATCTGCCAGGGTTGGGGAAAAAAAAAGGAGTCAGTGGGTAATCAAGTCAGGAGGGAGCCTCATGCCACAGTGCCCTGTTTTACTGTCCTCAAAGCCTTACCTGCTCCGGATCACATGCACACTCTTCTAGGTTCCTATCTGGCAATGTTCTATCTCCTTCTTTTAGCTTTGTGTCTCTGCCCAGACTACCCATTCTTCCCATGCCTTCAATGCTCTCTACCACCTCACTTCTGACTCTTGGGACTCCTAATTCCCTTCAAGTTTCTGCTTAAGCGCCACCTCCTATAAGAGACCCTTCCTGAGTCCCCCACTTACTAGTACCCCCTGCAATCACTTCATATTTATTACGGATAAATCTTACATATGCTTATCTGTGTGCATACTGTTGCCACCCTCAAGCCCTAACCTCTCTCTAAAAGGAAGGCCCCTTGATTGTAGAGACTATCTTGTCTGGTACACAATAGTTGCTTAATGAATGCTGGTTGATCTGACTGACAACCTCTCTGAAGGGGCTTTGTATTTCTCTCATGGCTGAGCTGTGGGGAGGAGGAGGAAAGAACATATGGAAGTGAAGATAGGGAAATAGGATGTATGGGGGTGATGAATGCGGCTCCAGAAGTAATGCTGAGCTGGGATGGTGGGGTGAATGAAGGAATGAATGAATAAAAAAGCATTTAGTAAGTCCTAACCTCATGTGCACTGACGGGGGGGGGGGGGGGGGGGGGGGGGGGGGG